AGTTCTTGTATGCATAAATAAATAACTCTTAAAAAAAAAAAAAAAAAAGGGTCTCCCCGGTGGCGCAGCGGTTGAGCGCTGGGTTGCGAAGCTGCCCGCGGCCTCTGCGGCGCCAGTTCGATCCCTGGCTGCTCCCCAGCCACCGGAGGAGGGTCCCACATGGCGCGCAGACCTCTCCTGCCGCCCGCTGCTCCCTTCAGCAGTGTACTTCGGTCCTTCTGCCTGGTCTGCTCCCCGCTCTGGCTCTGGTGAATTCTCTCGCCCTCCCGCGCTTCTGACTGTACCCAGTGCATGTATAAACAAAACAAACAAACAAATAAATAAATCATAAATAAAAATACATGCCTCTTTAAAAAAAAAAAAAGAATGGGTTAGCTAAATAATTTAATCACATAAAAATGATTGTCAGTTGAGAATTTCAGTGAATTAAGAGACTTTTGATTTTCAACTCATTAAGTCAGGTCCTCTCACTATCTCCACCAGTTAGTGCAACATGCAAGTGAGTTACCATGTGATTCTAAAAGTCAACAAACCTAATGACTCGACAAAAAAAAACTTTTTTTCATGTAATTAATTCAAACAAGCCCTTCCCTCATGGGTCTAAGTCAAAATACTTTCATTGCATTGCTTTCAAAAGAAAAAAGCCAGAATTCAATTAACCACTAAGCCACCACACTAACCCTGCTGTAACAAATTGGCCAATTTACTTCCAGAACACCTCAAGCTATTTATGGACAGATCAGAACTTTTTTCCCCCTTTGAATTCAATGGAACATTCAACATCCTCTGCTTTAGGGGCATATTGGAACCTATAAGGGGCAGAGGACAGGACAGTGAATGTCAATGATACTACAGCTTCCATGGCTCTCTTTCCTACCAGCTCTTAACTATGTGGGTACTCCTAGCTTCAGGCTGCAATCTATGCCCTATTCTTTCCTTTCATGGAAAATTCACCTCTAAGAGATGGAGAGTGGAAAAATAAGAAATGAAATTTGAGATTGAATACCTAAGCTTGAGTTGTTATTCTACCATCTGAACTTCAATATCCACATTAAAGGAGAATAATGATGCAAAGCATACAGAATTGTGTTAACAAAGTTGCTGTATATAATAACCTTTGTAAATGGTAGTGATTTTTAAATAATATTGTGGCTGTTGTTTAATAAATGATTACTACCCATTCCTACCTCTCTTCAAGTTCTACGCTCAGGTTCCAACAGAGATTACTTGTCAAGACTGTCAGGCATGAAAGAACTAAGACATGAGATGTCCAAGCAACTCAAGCGTGTCAAATTTAGAGTCCCCACTCCCACCTATTACCTCTATTTTAGACATGCCATTTTTTCAAAGTAACCATTGCCTCTAATTTAGAAGAACCCCCCACCCCACCCCACCCCTGGCCACCAAACTACAAAGCATTTCCTTTTGGATGTACCTCTATCCTTTCAAATTCAACTCCAAGAAATACGTTAATCTTCCCGTTCTAGAAGAATGGTTCCCTTGCCAGTTCCCCCATTTCTGTAATGACAGGAAATTTTCCAACTTTACATGGTAGACAGACACCTTGGCATTTATCAGGGGCTTGTTACTCTTTCTTCCTTAACCTCTTCCTGTCAAACAGACTATCAAATCAGTTCCTCCATGAAATGACCTCCAGATTAATGCTTTTCTTATAATCCCACTGTCTACCCCAGTTGATAATTTTACTATTTCAGCCTGGACTGTTACTATAGCTTCCTAATCGGATTCTCTAAACTCACTTTTCACTTCATTCATTTCATATATTCACACCATAAAACCATCCCTGATCATTGCTTTTATAACCACTATTCACTGTCTAGCCCAAGGTAAAAAAAAAAAAAATCACCTGTGTCTGGTTGCAGGCAACCCATCACCCCTCAAATCAGAATGTATATCCTGTTTCTTAAGTTTGTTTTTGTTTTGTTTTTTTCTGAATCAAAAAAGATCATTTCTGTTGGTATTTTGTTGTATGTTTTTTAAAATATATACAGATGATAACCACAGCTATATTTTAACAGAAACAGGCTCATGTACTCTAAATTTTTATGTGTATATTATAGCTGTCTTTCTGTGTCAATAATTTCAGAGCTACCTTATTTTTCATTATATGGACATTCTACCCTTACTTGATCAATCCCCTGTTCATGACAGTCATGACTGCTTTGTAAACTCTGTTGTAACAAACATCCTCATACGTGTGTGACTGCACATTTGCCTTGGGAATAAATACCTAGAAATCAAACTGCTGTTTTAGAGTATGCGCACTTTACATGTGACATATATTGCCAAAATTAACTTCAGAGAAACTGTATTTATATTCCAGCAACAGAGTATGATTTCCTATTTTCATAAATCCTCACTAGCAATAAATATCTTCTTCTTTTTAATATTTGTAAATCTAACAGTTAAAAATAATACATTATCTCATTTACATTTTTTAGATTTTTTTCTGTATTTTTTAGATAAGTGAAAGTCTTTTTCTATATTCTTTATTGGTCATTTGTACTTATTCTTCTACGATTTTGAGCAACTTTCTTGTGTTGTTTGTACCTTGTACAGATATGCTGAAAACATTTTAGTCAGTCAGTATGTCATCTGCTTTTTATTTTATGTTTGGTGTGATTTGTTTGTATCCTTTTTTTAGCTAATCCATCACATTTTTTTCCTATATAGTTTTTGCCTTTGATGCATACTAAAAACACTATCTTCTAGTATATTTACTAGTTTTCATGTAAAAATATTTACTCCATCTAGAATCTATTTTTTAACAGAGTGTTCTTTTTGGTTTTTTTTTTAAACGATTGGACAGTTGTCCTGTATCATTTGTCTTAAACATTATCCTTTCCCATGATCTGTATCTAGACTTTCTATTCTATTCTGAGCTCTGCTCACCAACAAGAATTTTTCTTTCCAGTAGGACTAGTTTTTTCATTGCCCACAATAGGTATTATGTAGGTTGCTGGTATATTCATATTGTTGCCCTTACCTCGAATTATCCTCTTACCTTCCCGCCACAGATCCTTCAAAGTAAAACTATTCCTGGGGCAAGTAGTAGTAAATGCTATTTAAAACAAAAAATGCTTTGAAAAGAGGGAAGATACTCTACAAATCTTAGTTTATCTACAAATATTTGTGCAGATAAAGAAATAGGTTAACTGTTTATTCAGGTGAGCTCTTCAGTGGGCTTTGGAAATAAGGAGGTGAAACCAGAGTTGAGTTTGGAAGAGAAAGAAAGAGTTCAACTGCTTTGCTAATAGAGTGAGAGGTATTTGGAGTGCTTAGTGGCAACAGAGTGAGGAAGGTTTGCAGAGGAAAGTTAAGATGATAAGACCAAGACCATAATATGTATAGGTGATACGTACATTGACAAATTCCTAATGGAGAAGTGGGAAGTTTAGGAGATAAGCCAGCATTAAAATTTGAATTGCTTGTTATGCTGCAATGTAAAATCCTCTTCATTATCTCAAACTTTCAATTATTCTACTATATACATAAAGGCTTTAGCTGGAAGATATTTGATTATTAGGGTCAATGTGGATGGGAATAGGGAAATGATGCTTGAAACAGTAAAATCATTTCTAATCTGAACTAATTTAGTGGAAGCAAGAGCTCAAAATTAGAATGACCATAAATATATGGATTGTCAGGAATGTGAAATGTAGGTAAAAGAATCAGACTTTCTACAAAATGTCAAAGAATGACACCATGAACCAAAATGTTAAGGGAGAAGGTTCCAGCCAGCTAGTGGGTTACACTAGGATACCCTATACTCAAAACTTTTTAAAAGGAACTAAACTGCATGAAATTCAGTGGTAACTTGCAGAAGCATCTAGGGTGAGAGGTACCAATTATTCTGCTTGTACAAAAAACAAGCTCAGGATCAAATATCCTATCAATTCTCTACTCTACATGTTTCCAAATAGGTCTTCTGCTCTCTACTCCACCTAGGGTGCCTTTGGTCACCTCTAACCTGCCCATTAAGCTTCCTCCCAAGATTTTAACCCTCAGATGCCTCCTTTCCAGAACTTCCATTTTACTTAAGAATCTGATTATCAGTTTAATTGTTTAATTAATTTTACTTAGTATCTGAACAACCTTTAATTTTGCTGTACTTTTTTTCTGTTAACTTCCTAGTTGAATTCAACTATAGATGCAGATAAAAACCTGGGGTGGGTAGGATGGGATGGGATGGAATGAAAGATCAAACTGCCCATATCTTAAACATCTTGCCTTACACTCAGAGCTTATTAAATTCCTGCTGGGAGAATAACAAAAGAAAGTGACATAGAAGTAAGTTTACAAATGAACCTGGATAGTGATGCTCTTTAGGAATAAAGGAGGAGGAACAAGAATAGGGGAATAAGGGGAAAAGATGGGTTGATGAAGAATGTAATTTGGCTTGAGAAATTTTTTGTTTAAAATGCTCAGGAACCATCCACATTATGATGTGAATAGTATTTGGCCACTACTAGTCAGGAACTCAGAAACAAGATCTAGGTTGGTTATAAGAGACTTGAGTTTTTGACTTATCACTGGTAACTAAAACCAAAAGCATAGTATGTCATCCAGGGACAGTGCACAGGAGGAAAACGGAGCTGAGGAGAGAATCTTTGGAAATACTTTCAAGTAGAGAGATTATTAAAGAGAGACTAGTTAGGGAAAACAAGTCTACTGCAGTTATAGGCCAACTAATACGTACAAAAGCCTGACTGATTAAATGACTAAATGACTCTATTTAAGATCTCCAAATACCCCTTTCAAGCCCTCTTTCCACCTTTCTCTAAGTGAGCTGACTCCAAGATCTTTAGTTAAAATGAGGAAGTAACAAAAAGGGAAGTGTAAGGCCCCAAGAGTGGGAGAAGAATGCTATTTATTGAATCTTCAAAGACCAACCCAATCACTACTTCTATTTCAAATATGGGAAAGGGAGGAGGATCCAAATGTGGGAGAAAGAATGTAGAATTCCTACTTCCTCATACCTTAGCACTCTACTCCAGATCAGAAGTAGAGACCAGAACGCTGGAGGCTAGACTAATGCATACAGTAAGTGGTGAAATACATGGTGTGATTCAGCATAGAGACTGGTAAACAGGTGTTCAATGGGCCTGTGTTGAAGGAAGCACCAAGAAACATTTCCTAAAAAAAAAAAAAAGAAACATTTCCTAAACCCAGACAATTTTTTTCACTGACTGTCGCATTACCCTCATCTGGAATTTTGCCATCTGCTGTCCATTCCTTTGGGATAAAACCTCAGACTTTCTAAAACTATGTTCCACCAAATACCATGACCTGTGAGATTTTAATAATCTTCCAGAAAAAAAAAATGGTTCTCTAATTAAGTAAGTTTGGAAAATGTTTTAATATTTATTTCCCTTTGAGAGCTTTATAATACATATTAAAAGCTTTTTCAGGCAGAGGCAGTTGAGAGAGCTAGCTAGAAACTCAGGACAGAAGCCAATCAAAGCTAAGAGTCTTTCCAAAAGCAGAGTAGGACAGATCAGCATGATATCCAATTATCCCAAAGAGTAGAGTTAGCCTAGAGAGTTCAGGCTGGTCAACACTGGGAGATGCACACCGGCAGAACAATACCTTCCTGAAGTAAGACGCAAGAGAAGTCTCTTAGTATCAGAGAAGGGATCTGGCCTGAAAGAGGCTGGAAAACAAAGGCTGTAGTCTCCAGGCTGGGTTGACAATGGGGTTGTAGTCCTGGACAGGGCTAGGGGCTTTCAGGCAGAGCAGACAGACAGCTTGGTCCTGTTAGGGAATAATCAAAATAAAGGTGAGTCAAGGGGAGGCAGAGACTGGTAGGCAGTGCTGTATCTCAGGCATAAAACACATACCCAGGAGTCCCTCACTTCCTTCTAGGGGCACAAGCTCTAAAATCCTCTTGTCAGTAGATCCAGCTAGATCTTGTGTATGGAGCTATGGAGGTCAGGAAGAGAAAAGGGGTATGTTGTTGTTTTAACATTTATTTATTTATGCATACAAAAACTGGGGTACAGGCCAGAGGACAACCTTTAATTGTGCTGGGGGGTGAGAGGATTCACCAGAGACAGAGTGGGGAACAGAACAGGCAGGTTGACTGAAATACCTGCTGAGGGGAGCAGCAGGCAAGTCAGGAGCGGTCTGTCGCGCATGTGGGTCACGTCCCCAGCCAGGGACAAAATTTGAATTGCAGTGGCTGTGGATAGTTTCATAGTGCTACGTCTTAACCCCTTGTGCCACTAGGAAGGCCCCAAAAAGGGGTATGTTACATCCAGCAATCTCCAGAGAGTTGTACTGATTCCATTAAAGAAGTCCAGACCCTGTCAAACTTTAGGAGGTAAAGAGTTAAGACCATTCCTAGGATAGCCCGTAGCACTTTAAGGAAATGCGCCAGAAAAAAATGGCTAAGAATCCAAGAGGCCTGAATGAAACCAAAAGTTTGAGTCAAAAGAAAATGCTCTGGGGGCCTCCCCAGTGGCACAGGAGTTAAAGTCTCAGTGTTATCAAGCTATCAGCAGCCACTGCAGCATGAGTTCGATCCCTAGCCAGGGAGCTAACCCACATAGCACAGCAGACCTCTCCTGTCTCGCCCACTGCTCCTCTCAGCAGCATATTTCAATAGATCTGCCTGCTCTGCTCCTCACTCTTTCTCTGGTGAATACTTTCATGCCCCACAACTCTGGCCTACACCCTAGTTCATATGTGCATAAATAAAAATAATTTTTTTTTAAAAAAAGAAAGAAAAGTTCTGAACTTAGGGTAGGAACAGGGAAAGAAAAGAAGTTGAAGCCTGAGAACAAAAGGCATTCATGAACCCCACTGTAAGGAAATGGGAAAGGCCAGAGATCTGAATTGCCTCTGTCATTCATGCTGGGCTACCTCTGGATTAGCTATTTTGGTTCCTCAAAGTTAGTGGACAAGGGGGAACTGCACCTTTGCACAGACACCCTAAGTGCTTTGTCATTTCTTTTAATGTGGCTTGTTTTGTTTCCTGGTAAAGCCCTATTTCAAGCACAGATCATTGGGAAACCAGACCAGAAGTTGTCTATGACCAGCAGCCACTAAGGAAGTGCCCTACCCGTATTGACATCAGTGGTCTCCTTTGCACCACCATTTTACATCATTTCTGGGACGTCTCCTGCTTCCTAAGATCTGTGATGGTCATGTCTGAGGACATCACAGCAAACCACAGATTCAAAAGTCCTACAACTCCTTGTTAAACTCTGCCTGTCAGCTGTTCTCCTGACAACACTATGCCTACATACCTAGCATGCTGGTAGGAAATCTCTCTACTACCCAATATCCCCTCTTGGGATCAAGAGCTCTTTCATCCCCACCACCCTTGGCTGTTTATCTTTTCTTAGACAAAACTATGTAAGAACCAAAGTGTTTTTTTAGAGATCCAGCTTTTCTTTTCAGGCCCTTTATCTCAAACAAATGGGGTCTCCTTTCTGTTCCTATGACTGGAGGAACAGAGCCTTCTCTCTGTCCCTGCCTTACTTTAGTTCTCAGAAATCAATCTCATAAATTCATTCATTCTTCCACTTACATGAACAAAATGATTCACAATCAAACCCATTCTTGAGTCTCTTCATTTTTAATAAGGTCTCTAAAACTTAAAGGAAATTTCACTCATGAAATAGCAATAGCAAATAGGCGGGGCAAATCTTATGAGAGGGAGGACACATTCTTGGTGCCCCTGAAATTACACCACTTGACGGACCAGCTCTTCTCTACCTATTCTATCACCTGACTCTCTCAGGCTGTCTCCTTTGCCAGCCCAGAGGCCAGGCTCACCTGGACTTGAGCCCGCCCCCACTGCCATCTGGTCTCCCTCAGAAGGGCAGAAGAGAGACACCTCTTGTTTACTCAGTAATAATTCACTGTAATAGTCACATAACAGGTGCCACCAGCTCTAGTACGTGTAGTAAGGACACACCACACCTCTGCCTCATCATGGCTTATTCCTTAGGACACTTAAACAGGTTTATTTGGATGATAGGACTGGGCTTCTTAAGCTGTAAGGCAGAGTTACCAGTGGTGTTTTGACACTTGTGGGTTACACAGCAATGAAGACCTAGAGGTAAAGAACAAAGGCTTTTTTTAATCCTCCCCTACAGCCAATTGGTATCTTTCCCACATATGTTGCTGCAATATCTCTATATATAGAATCTAGTATTCTATAAACAGGATGCTCTGGCTAAACACATCTCAACCATGAGGTAAAGATGGCATCTCCTCATCTTCTCTTCTTTCCCACCCTTCTTTCCTAAATCTCATCAGAGACAGAAGAGCTCTGTAAAAATGGCACAGGCATTGGGCTCAGTCTTTTCTTAGCTGCTTGAACTTGGGCAAACATAACTTCTTTGACTTATAGTTTGTCCATATCCAAAATGGAGATACATTATTGATTTACATTATGGTAATTAATAAGAAATACACTAAAAGTATCTAATACATGTCTGGCTATCCAGGAATGTGAGTTTCTGTTCTTCTGTATCCAGCTCACCATGCACCTAGTACCCTCAAGTTACTTTCTAGCTGGTCAAGGTCAAGGTATTTGCCTCACATTAAACCTTCGCTTCCTTTCTTAAATCCTATCAAAATTCCAATTCCTTAGAAAAGCTAATCTAAGCACACTATTTGAAAGAAAGTAATTCTAATTAAATGAATTCAGGTAAAATATGGATGCTATTGCTGGAGTCCAATATTAAACTGGGGGGATGTTTCTGCATTTTAAAAGGGAGTCTGGAAATTCAAATGAAGACTAATGGTGAGGATTGCCTAGTAGACTGAGAATCATCTGTGCTGACAATGGGAAACCATCAGTTATAGGACATCATCTCATACTGCTGAAAGTCACACCTCAAATCAACAGGTCCAGAATAGAACTTGGGATCCTTCGCTACTACTCCTGTTTTGGCCAGCACACACTACTCCCTTAGCCAGGAAGTTATGGGGGTATTTTTTCCCTAGGAGGTTTCCAACACTATTTTAAACTCTGAAATCAGGTAACAACAGGATTTGATTATGGTCAAGCCTAGAAGCAGTTTGCAGAAGGCCTTTTGCCCACTCCCAAAATCACATCTTACTTTTTTGAATGGTCTCAAAAGGCTCAGATTAATACAGGAGGAAGAGTGGGTCTGCTACTTAACCCCTCTCAGTGATCAAGGAAGGAGGACCACAGGGACATTTCTGGGTTTTCCACATACAGGATCACAGAGGATGATTACTGGGACTAAAAACAGACTGAGTATAAACACTTGGCACAATGTAACATGCTGACTATAAATCACAATTGAACACAGGAGTTCTCATTACGAGGTACTCTTATCAGTGTGCTCATTTTAATTGGCTTTCTTGGCAAGCACCCCAGGCTGGGGTCTCAGGAGCCAGATACCCTTGAGGGATGAAAGGGACAGACTGGCAGCTTCAGCTAGAGTTAAAAGGAAATGAAGATGAAGTCCAGGGTGAGGGAGGGGCGAGCCCAGGCAGGATTACCCAATAGCATGTGCTTAGGGAACTGCAAAAAAATTATTTTTACTTATCTAAGTAATCACTCATGGGAAAATCAGAATTTTTTCTGCACTTTACTTTTATTTTGCTGGATTTCCTTATACTGTTTTGTTTTTAATATTGTTCTTGAAATATTTGTTGAGGGCTAAAGTTATATTAACAGCATCCACATATCCCTGGGCAGGTGCTATTTGCCAGAGATGATGAAGGGTAGCTAACTCTTACATATCACATATTATATGAGATATAAACTGTGAGGTTAAGTGCTATGTACTGGGATGTATAGTAATGCTCAACTCTAGTCTGATCATCTCAGTATTATCTCTTTCCACCTCTACTGGCATATCACATTGTGCCAAGTGATTATACATGGCTTATATTTTTAAAAGGACATCATGTCCTTTAAATTGTTTAGGCTTCTGGACCCTTCCTGGTGGTGCAAGGGGTTAAGCGTCAGCACTATGAAGCAATCCGCAGCCATAACACAAGTTCGATCCCAGGTCAGGGAGGTGACCCACATGGCACAGCAGATCTCTCCTGACTTACCCACTGCTCCCCTCAGCAGTGTATTTCAGTTGATCCACCTGTTCTGCTACCCACGCTGTCTCAGGTGAATCCTCTCACCCCCCCATTCCCCCCACACACACCTCTGGCCTACATCCCAGTTCTTATATGCATAAATAAATAAATCTTTTTTTAAAATTTAAAAATAATAATAATAAATTGTTTAGGCTTCTAAAGTTCTTAATCTAGTTCCTCGGCTTCACAAAAAGCAGGGGAAAACAGGTGTTCAGAGTTTCAAGGTCAATATTCATTTCCTCAATGTTCAATAAACATTTCTTGGACTAGTATCAGGTTTTTGCTCAGTTCCGGGACACAGCAACAAATAAAACAAAATTTGCTATGAATTCCCAAGCTGTCTAGTGAGGAGACTTGAGAAGATGAGCAGGAATCAAGACAAAAGGTCCATATGAAGAAACAGACAAAATTCCATAGCGAGCAATGGGATGCAGAGGGAGGAAACCCCTTTTGGGGTTTATCAACAGAAGAGACTATGAACAAATAAAGAGCTATTCAAGGAGATGACCTGGGTCACATAACACCCTCATCCCTCCTACTTCCTTTGGCAGGGGAGAGAGTCACTATGGTGAACTGAGTTCATCAAGAACAGGTGACCAGGGATGGCCCTCACAGCTAGTGCTGACATGAAGCTACCCCTTCTCTGCTCACAACCATGAACTATGATATATGCACTGTGAATTGTATGGGAGATATGGAACTCTCTAAAGAAAAAGAATTGAATTGTCTACTAATAGGAATTCTAGGAAGTATAGCAGGCCAGAAATGGAAAGCATAAAAGCAACCACCAGAAGAAGCTGGGTCACCCTTTCACCAACTGTCTGCCCCTCCCATCTCTGACACTGCCTGGAGAGGAAAAATATAAGCCTATGTATAATCACTTGGCACAATGTGATATGCTGGTAGAGGTGGAAAGAGATAATACTGAGATGATCAGACTAGAGTTGAGCATTACTATATACATCCCAGTACATAGCACTTACCTCACAGTTTATATATCATATAATATGTGATATGTAAGAGTTAGCTACCCTTCATCATCTCTGGCAAATAGCACCTGCCAAAGGATATGTAGGTGTTCTGTTATATAAGAATTATCCTCCCTTCATGTTGAACAAAGGCAAGAAATTGGATGGGTCTAGAGTTCCAAAATGAATTGAAGAGAATGGAGTTCAAGCACAATGGGTTTTCTATCATTTAAAATTCTCTTCAATACTGTATCAATACCTCCAATTCTCAATTAAGACTGTATCAATTCTGTGTGGAAATATCTGCTAGAGTCACTTCATGTGTTTTGAAAACAGAATATATCATTCTAAACTAACAATGGTCCCCAAAGCAGTCCCCAAACTAGGAACCACTAGAGAAGACTGAAGAACAAGGGGAGAAGCTGCACTGACCAGTACAACAGTCTCATCACTTAGCATCAAGCAGTGAGTTTTTTTCATCCCAAATTGCTTTATACACCGTATTCTATTCCACAGCTTAGTAACTGGAGGACCTTTTTTTAAGATTTATTTTTTATTTATTTATGCATATAAGAACTGGAGTGTAGGCCAGAGATGCAGAGGGTGGGGGGAGGGATGGTGGTGAGAGAATGCACCAGAGACAGACTGGGGAGCAGAACAAGTGGGTCTACTGAACTACACTGCTGAGGAGAGCAGCAAGTGAGACAGGAGAGGTCTGCTGTCCCCTACATGGGTTAGCTTCCTCGCTAGGGATCAAACTCGTGCTGCAGTGGCTATCGATAGCTTGATAGCACTGAGACTTTAACCCTTGCACCACCAGGGAGGCCTTTATCTGGAGGACATTTTTTTTTATCTTTTTTTAAATTTTTAAAAATTTTTTTACATCATTGTTCATTTTTAAACAATATTAGCTTCCCCCCACCCCCCTCAGGTAAAGTCCCCAGAGTTTCCTTCCCCAGTGCACCCGTGCACCATCACCTCAGTCTCCTGTGCTCCTCCCTCCCTCCCTCTGATCCCTCTCAAGCCTCCTCCCCTGCAGTATGTCTCTGATTTATAATTGCCTGTTTTTGCTTTGTTTTGTACTGTTATTATTTTTTTACACTGATGTCTTATTTGGTTCCCCTATATTCCTGCTATAAGTGAAACCATCTGATATTTTTCTTTTTCCTTCTGGCTTATTTCACTGAGCATAATTCCTTCTAGGTCTATCCACATTGCTGCAAATGGCATGAGTTTATCTTTTTTGATTGCTGAATAATATTCCATTGTGTATACATACCACATCTTCTTGATCCAGTCATCTATTTTGGGGGTATCTGGGTTGTTTCTAGGTTTTATCTATTGTAAATAGTGCTGCAATAAACATAGGGGTACAGGTATTCTTTTGAATCAATGTTTTTATGTCCTTTGGGTAGATCCCTAGGAGTGGAATTGCTAGGTCATGTGGTAGCTCCATTTTTTGACTCAGTCCAGATATTAAATTCATTCTCTAAAGTGGAGATCTATTATCTCTAGGAATGTATTCAAATATCCTATCTTACTTTCAAATGAGGGGAGAGAAATATAAAGACTGCTGCTCTCACTCCTTCTTCAATAGGGGGTTGGGATATTACTCAACAGAAATGAAATAGTCAGATCTCAACTGCTATCTTCTTATCAAAATAAATTCCAGATGGAGCAAAGATTTAAATTTAAAGATTAAATTTAGATTTAAAAATACAAAGTACTCAAAGAGAATGAGTTACTATTTTTATGATTTTAAGGCAGAAAAACAAGTCTTTCCTGCACATTGACCTGAGAACAGAAAAACTATAAGGGAAAAGATTATTTTGACACCTGAAAATATAAAACATCCAGACAGAAAAACTTACATGAAGTTAGGGCCTCCCTGGTGGCACAATGGATTATATCTCACCATTATGAAGCTATCAGCAGCCACTATGTTATGAGTTCAATCCCCGGCCCAGGAAGCTAACCCACATGGCACAGCGAACCCCTCCTGACTCGCCCACTGCTTCCCTCAGCAGAGTATTTCAGTAGACTGCCTGCTCTGCTCCCCATTCTGTCTCTGGTGAGTCCTCTTAACCCTTGTATCTCTGGTCTGTATCCCAGTTCTTATATGCATAAATAAATAAATCTTTATTAAAAAAAATTACATAAAGTTAAAAGACAAATGACAAACTGGGAAAAATTTGGTACTAAATGTAATAGTCAACACATTAATATTTACAAATTGTCAAGAAAATATTACTGGGAAAATGTGTAAAGGACATTACTAAGTGATTCAAAGAAAAAAATAATCGTCCAAAATGCATTTGAGAAGATGGTCAATCTTTAATATTTAATGAACTATAAATTAAATCATACCTTTTTTTAAAAAAAGATTTTTATTTATTTATGCATATAAGAACTGGGGTATAGGTCAGAGGTGCGGGTGGGGGTGGGGGTGGTGAAAGGATTCACCAGAGACAGAGTAGGGAGCAGAACAGTCAGATCTACTGAAATACACTGCTGAGGGGAGCTGTGGGTGAGACAGGAGAGGTCTGCTGCGCCATGTGGGTCAGCTCCCTGCTGGGGATCAAACTCATGTCACAGTGGCTGGCAACAGCTTGATAGCTAGCACTGAAACTTAACCCCTGTGCCACCAGGGAGGCCCCTAAATCATACTTATTGAGAACCATATCTATTAATATTCAAAGTCTTTTATTTGGATTAACTGATTTATTCCTCATGTATAAGTGCTATCATTATCCCTATATTTTACCAAAGATGAAACTAAGGCACAGATAACCAAATGACTTACCCAAGGTCACAAAGCTAGAAAGTGGCTAAGAATTCAGGTCCCAGAAGGCTGGCTCCAGAGTCACATTCTCAACTACCTTGTTACAGTGACAAGATTATATTTCACCTGTCAAGTGGGGAAGATAAAAAACACAGCAACTAGTATTACTGATGATATGGAAAAGTAGACAACCTCATGAGCAGTTCACAGACGTTAACATTCTTAAGGGTAATGTGGTTCCATGAATCAACATTTTTAATGTACTTATCCTTTAGGACCTCCCTGGTGGTGCAAGGGGTTAAGCACCGCACTATGAAGCAATCTGCAGCCTCTGCAGCATGAGTTCGACCCCCGGCCTGCCAGGAAGAAACCCAAATGGTGAGGCAGACCTCTCCTGTCTCGCCGCTGCTCCCCTCAGCAGTGTATTTCAGTCAGTCTGCCTGTTCTGTTCCCCACTCTGTCTCTGGTGGATCCTCTCACCCCCCACATCTCTGGCCTGTACCCCAGCTCTTGCATGCATAAATAAACAAATCTTTATTTAAAAAAATGTACTTATCCATTCACTCACGCAAATCCTTTCCATTTCTTGGAATTCATTGTAAGGAAATCGACAAGTATGCAAAAATACATATGCTATGCCAGGATGTTTATCACAGAATGTATATAATAAAAAGTCCACCAAATTCCTTTATTCAGCATTTATTTATTGAGCACAGTGTGTACCAGGAAAACTTTTCTAAGCACCAAGTATAGAGAACTGGATAAAAGAGAAAAAAAGAAATCCTTGTCTTTATGGAGTTTATTTTCTAACAGAGGGAGTTAGGCAATAAACAAGTAAGAAAAGTATGTAGTATATCAAGTGGTGTTAAATGCTATAGAGAAAAATAAAGGACAGAAGGGAGATAGGAAAAGAGGGTCTGTTATAATTTAAATAAGGGGTCAAGGAAAGCCACATTAATAATAGACAAGATACACATACTAAATATTAAAGAATAAAATTGCATTATGGTATATCCACATATTGATATAAAATCCAATCACCTATAATTTTTTTTAAAGATTCATTTATTTATGCATACAAGAACTGAGGTACAGGCCAGAGGTGTGGGGGGAGTGAGAGAATTCACAGAGACAGAGTAGGGCACAGAACGGGCAGCCTGACTGAAGTACACTGCTAAGGGGAGCAGTGGATGAGCAAGTCAGGAGAGGGCTGCTGCGCCATGTGGGTCACCTCCCTGGCCGGGGATCAAACTCAAGCTGCAGTGGCTACAGACAGCTTCATAGTGCTGCATCTTAACCCCCTGCGCCCCCAGGGAGAACCCCTATTATGTTTTTATTGATGTGAGAAAATGTCTAAGACATAATTAGGATTTCACCACACACAAAGAAATTAGCAACTTTGTGAAGTGATGTATACATTAAACTCATCATAGTTATCCTTTAACAATATCTATGTATATTCAATCATCATGTTGTATACCTTAAATTTATATAACATTACACATCAACTGTATCTCAGTAAAGCTGGAAAGATTGCAGAAGAGAAACAGTATTAAGGTATTATTCCACTGATACGAATTTACACTTATGTACATATTTATGCTTTAAATGAGAAAGAGGAACAGCACATAGAGACTGATAATACCAAGTAAGAGTCTAGGTCCATACAAGTGGTGAAGGTGGAATTTGCTTGTTCTTACCCACTCACTCATCCTCCTATCCATACCTACACTTTGTTCCAGGAAGGATTTATTTTTTTCCAAGCTTTTTTTTTTAATTTATTTTTATTTATACAATAACTGGGGTACAGGCAAGAGGCACATGAGGGTGAGAGATTCACCAGAGACAGAGTGGGGAGCAGAACAGGCAGAAAACAGAAAACACTACTGAGGGGAGCAGTGAGATAGACAGGAGAGGTCTGCTGCGCCATGTGGGTATCTCCCTGGCCGCCTGGAATTGAACCCATGCTGCAGAGGCTGCAGACCGCTTCACAGAGCTGTGCTCAACCCGCTGCACCACCAGGGAGGCCCCCAGGAAGGATTTAAAGACAGCAAATCCACATAGTCCCATATGTTCTTTTTTTAAAAAGATTTATTTATTTATGCATACAAGAACTGGGGTACAGGCCAGAGGTATGGATGGTGAAAGGATTCACCAGAGACAGAGTGGGGAACAGAACAGGCAGACTGACGGAAAACACTGCTGAGGGGAGCTGTGGGCGAGTCAGGAGAGGTCTGCTGTGCCATGTGTGTTGCTCCCTGGACGGGGATTGAACCTGTGCTGCAGTGGCTGTGGAGAGTTTCATAGGTTGTATCTTAACGCCTTGTACCACCAGGGAGACCCCCCATATGTTTTTTAACTCTTCCCATCTCCCTTGCCCATCCCTCTACTCTTTCCAGAAGTGATAAGGTGATCAAGCCAGCGATAGGCAGTGAAAGTGATAAAAGTCTAAGATCAAGGTAAACTGAGGCGGCATAAGAAGGATGGAGGATCTGGATCTGAATGGGAGTCCTCTTATTTCAGTGTGTAAGAAATAGATCTTGGGAAGCACACTTCCTTCCTATAGATCTATAAGATTTGAAGCAAGGCAATATGATTCAGATTCCCAAATTCATTTCCTACTAAATCCCAAATGCCTTGCAGGGTAGTCAAGAGCATGACTGATTCATTCACAGGGATGTGACAAGCCACAGCAGGCCAGAGCTCTACTCAGATACAGAAGTGCCTGCATCTTCCTATGGGCAGAAAATGACACAGAGCTGAGTTTTTTGCACCCCAGTCCACCCCTAGCTTGCACCAAACAAGCATTCCTGGCTGCGTTAACTCATGCCTAACCCTACACACCCACTGTCTTGCCATGACTACACTAGAGATTCATAGACTTCTTCACTAAGATCCTCAAGAGTAGGTCCCTACTAAGAAAGTGCCCCAAGTGACCAGACATACTAGTTTGATTGGATTGATTTTCAATGTGGGGTCTGTGAATAGGATATTTGTTCTCAGATGTAGGGAAGTAAATTATATACTTCTCGCCTGAACATAAAGTCATAAAGAACTGGCAACTTCCCAAAGGTGGAATCCATGTTATTATCATCCTCTGTTTCTTTACCCTGAGGGAAGAAGTAGAAAAAAATTTGATAGAAAACAGTTTTATCAAAATATTTCTCACCTACTCTGTCACCTCTTGGATACCCACCACAGGCTAGGTCCTGTGTTAAGTGTTTTCATATACAATCACCAAAAATGACAAAAACTAAAGTACATATAGAACTAACTGCTCTGTTGCCAGTTTAATAACTAGACTTGACATGAGAAAGAAATCAGATTCTCCACAGGGCTGCAACGCAGAAGTCTTACTACACACAACCTTCAGACCCCATCCATATTAAAAAACAAATATTCTTCATAACTATCAACCTAATTTATCTTAGTATACATGAAGAATACGCCAATTATTCACTTTGTTAGCATTGCTGACAAATAATTTTTATGAAGAATACTTTAAATTAAATTAGAAACCTTTTATTACATTAACATATATGAACAAACATTAAATACAAAAGTAAACTAGCTAGAGAGGTGAGTAATATAAGCAGAAAAAGAGTTGACTTATTTTTAAGGTTGGAAATACAGGGAAGCATGTATTATTTTAAATTTAAGTAAAAGTAATTGTACATCTGTACAATCAATTATGAGGTAGTAACACAATGAACAGAAGGAGAGGCCTGGTAAAGGTTTACGCTATGATTAAGTACTACTTCAACGTATAAATTCTTTATAATTTTGTAACGTATATTCTTTTCATGTACCCACTTTATATTTATGAACTAGTTTTATTAAAAACTGATGTTCAGGGGGCCTCCCTGGTGGTGCAGGAGTTAAAGACAGCACTATCAAGCTATTGGCAACCATTGCAGCACAAATTTGATCCCCAGCCGGCCAGGGAGCTACCCACGTGGTGCAGCAGACCTCTCCTGTCTCGCCTGCTGCTCCCCTCAGCAGTGTATTCCAATCAATTTGCCTGTTCTGCTCCCCACTCTCTCTGGTGAATCCTCTCACACCCCACACTCTGGCTTACAACCTAGTTCTTGTATGCATAAATAAATCAATCTTAAAAAAAAAAAATCACGATTGCTCCCTAAAAAGAGGTTAGGAAAAAAAAGCTTGGAGTCTGGGTATGACAAACACAGGTATATCTCATTTTATTGCTCTTTACTTTATTGAGCTTCACAGACAATGTATTTCTTATAAATTGAAGGTTTCTGGGCCTCCCCGGTGGCGCAGCAGTTGAGCTCTGGGCTCCGAAGCTGCCCGCAGCCTCTGCAGTGCCGGTTCAATCCCCAGCTGCTCCCCGGCCACTAGAGGAGGGTCCCACATGGCACGCAGACCTCTCCTGCCACCCGCTGCTCCCCTCAGCAGTGTGTTTCGGTCCTTCTGCCTGCTCTGCTCCCCGCTCTGGCTCTGGTGAATTCTCTCACCCTCCCGCACTTCTGACTGTACCCAGTACTTGTATGTATGTATGTATAAATCAATCAATCTTTAAAAAATTAAAAATTAAAAAAAATAAATTGAAGGTTTCTGACAAACCTACATGAAGCAATTCTATTGGAGCCATTTTTCCAACAGCATGTACTCGCCTTAATGCCTCTATGTCACATTTAATTAAGGCATGTATGCTGGTTTTTTTGGACATAATGCTATTGCACATTTAATAGCCTGCAGTATTAACATAAGTTTTGTGTGCATACTGGAAAACCAAAAAATGTGTGTGACTCACTTTATTATGATATTGGTTTTACTAAGGTGGTCTAGGACCAAACAATATCTCTGAAGTATGCATATATGAGCTTGCCACCAACAATAATCAGCACCTTTATTTTTTCTTAATGATAGATCAGACTATTTCCTGTATGTATATATGTATGATTGTGTATATCTGTCTCATTCTTTCTAATAACTGAATAATATGGTAATACCCAACAAAATTTACTCAATAATCCATAATCAATATATAGCAAGATGTATCTTTGCCCTACCCCCATCCCTGGGATTTTTTTTTTTAACTTTATGTTTGCTTTTAAATTGAGGTAACATTGGTTTACAACATAGTTTATGATTTAGAGGCATATGATCTCCCCCTTCAGGTGTTGTCAGCACACCACACCCACCACCAAGCCATCCACATTCCTCCACCATAGTCCACTGTCCTCCCTCCCCCATTTTGTTCTCTCCAGTCTCCTTCTGCTTGCTTCAATTCCACAGTCAGGATTTCTAGGATTTGCTACTGATTTGGGTTTATCTGACCTTTGTTTTGTTTCCCTATATTCCACATATAAGTATTTGGTATTTATATTTCTCCTCCTAACTTATTTCATTTAGCACACCAATCCTCTCCAAGTCCATCCATCTTGTCACAAATGGCAAGAATTTATCTTTTTTAATAGTTGAGTATTATTCCATTGTTTATATATACCATATCTTCCTGATCCCTCATCTCTCTGGTGGTACTTTGGTTGTTTCCATAGCTTAGCTATAATAGTGCTGCAAGGAACACAGTAGTGTGTATTTCCCTTCAAATCAGTATTTTTGTATTTTTTTAGTAGATACCAAGGAGTGGAATTCCTGGGTCATACAGTAAGTCTATTTTTGTATTTTGAGAAACCGCCACACTGTTTTCCATAGGGATTGGGATCAGTCTACAGTGTAAGAGAGTTCCTTTTTCTGCACATGCTCACCAGCACTTATTGTTTTTAGTCTTTTTGATATGAGCCATTTTAACAGGTATGAAGTAGTATCATATTGTGGTTATGATTTGTATTTTCCAGTAAATGATGATGAGCATTTTTTTCATGTGCCTGTTGGTCATCTGTATGTCTTCTCTAGTAAGATGTATTTTTCAAGCAAGGTATATATGTTGCTTTTGCAATAATGCTATTGCACACTTAATAGACTACAGTTAAAAACCTCACATACCAATTTTGCATATTTTTCCCTGAAAAAAAAAATTGAGATTTCACTCTTTATTTGCTTTGGTTTGAGTTCAACAGTGTTTCACCTCAGCTCATTTCTATTAGCTGTATGTTGGCTTTGTCATTGTCACAGGGAGTCACCAAGAAAATGACCAATGAAACACAAGAAATACACATCATCTCCTGAAAAATTAGTCACCCTTTACTCCATTATTCTTATAAAGTGACTTATCAGGCCTCCCTGGTGGCACAACAGGTTCAGACCCAACCTATGAAGCTCACCACAGCCACTGCAGCACAAGTTTGTTCCTTGGCCAGGGGGCTGCCCACATGGCGCAGCAGACCTCTCTTGACTCACCCACTGCTCCCCTCAGCAGTGTATTTCAGTCAATCTGTCTGTTCTGTTCCCCACTCTGTCTCTGGTGAATCCTCTCACCGCCCCACCCACCCACCCACGCCTCTGGCCTGTGCCCCAGTTCTTGTATGTATAAATAAATCTTAAAAAAAAAATAAAATGACTTATCAATAATATACCTTTTACTGTGTTTAACTCTGAGGAAATAAAAGATACATACTTTTATCACCTAATTTTTTAAAAAAATAAGCACCTTTCACATCAGTGTCTCTGGTTCTGCTATTGTTTCTTTTAAACAGAACACAGTAAGAAAATAAGTGAAGACTTTAGATACATCATGATTCGAATCTCAGTTCTGCCACTTCCAACTTCATCCACCTGTCATAGCCTCTGGTTTGTCTTCTATAAAGGGCAATACTATTTATCTCCTACATAAGGAGAATCACAACACAGTGTGAAAATTCGGTTGAACCCTAGCACTGGCTGGGGAAGTTAATAAACAGCTTAAAGAAGTGGTAATGGACAAGAAGGAATCTGAAAGTTGACAAGAGTTCTTCTAGATGAGCCAACCACATATGCAAAGGTTAAGAGCTGTACAGAACCACAAGAGTTCTTCTAGAAGATGCAACCACATATGCAAAGGGTAAGAGCTATGCAGAACCACAATGCACCAACACAGGTACTGACAAGAAAGTAAAAGGCAATTGAGACAAGTACTGATTGTGTGCCTCTATGCCAGACCCTGAAAATACAAACATGAACAGGTAGATTTCTGCCCTCCTGAACTTACCTAGTAGGAAAGACAAACTAGTTAATAGTAGCAAAAATACTAGCATATGGAAGCAAAGAGAGTATTAATGGAGGAAGTAACATGGAGTTTCTTTGGATAGAGTGGCCAGAAAAGATCTCTCAGAAGAAACAATGCTTAACTGATATGTAAAGGCAAGGCATAGTTAATAAGTTGAAGAACAGCATAAAGAATATTCCAGAGGCCACAGCACTGCAAAGGCCTGGAAGTCAGAGAGCTGAAAGAAAAGGTCAAGGAACTGCAAGCAGCTGAGGGTGCCTGCAGGAAGTAAGAAGAAGGGTTTGGATGAGACCTGAAAACCAGACAAGAACCAAATATTTCTGGGCCTTGTAGGCCACAATTTGGGTGAAATTGCACAAGACCATTCCAAATTGAGATATCTGGACTTGATTGTATAGATAATAGGAACACAACAGAAGAATCTGAAAGGAGAGATATGAAGCTGGGTAGTTTTATAAGAGGATAGTAGAAGCAGTGTGGAGAATGACCACCATAGGGAGTGAAGACAGCTTGGAAATCTGATGAAGATGGCCTACACTAGGGAAGGGTCATATACAAAGGAAACTAAGGCACCCCAAAGACAAAACTGAAAAGCATCTGTGCTCAAAGATGAGCTAGTTGAACCTGATAGAAGTATGGAAGATAAGCTCTAGGCAGTTGAAAATGAAGTGGGAGAAAGAAAGGTAAGGTAGAATTTCTAGGGATTTAACTTTAAAGTAAATAGCACATAACAAAGTAATATGTAATCTAGCCTAAGCTCCTGTATGTTAACTACCTGATCCTTCCTATAACCCAAAAGCTGGTTTTAGGTCCTCCCCAGTGGCACAGCAGGTCGAACGCAGCACTGTGAAGCTGTCTGCAGCCTCTGCAGCATGGGTTCAATTCCCAGCTGGCCAGGGAGATTCCCACATGGCATGAGAGACCTCTCCTGTTGCTCCCGCTGCTCCGCTCAGCAGTGTATTTCGGTCATCTGCCTGTTCTGCTCCCTGCTCTGTCTCTGGTGAATCCTCACCCTTCCATGCCTCAGCCTGTACCCCAGCTCTTGTATAAAAATAAATAAATTAAAAAAAAAAAAGCTGGTTCTAGACTAAAGAGGTAAGAATGCTAAAAGACAATTTAGTAATCCCCAAGATTATTTATGGCCTTAATCCTGAACTGTTTGCCCTACCCCTTCTTACACTCCACCCACTATCCTGATTCTCTGCGTTTCAGACCTAATGATTCAATTTCCTGTTTCATCTTTGCCTCACTCATCCCCAAGGCCCTTTACTTCCTTCTTTGCATAGGATTCGACTCTCAGTTATCCTGACACCAGCCACTCAGAATAAATAATCTGCCCACACAGATTCTCAACTATTAGCCTCAGTATATATGCCCCCGTCATGAACAAATCCCCATTCTGGCTAACATTTTATGGATGTCTGAGAGAAACAAGTGTATTAGATGTTCATCCCATGGCACAAAGTGTCCTAACGTTGCCAGGAAAATGGTGGAAGAGGAAGAAGATGACGATGAGGAGAAAGAAAAGGAGGGAGAGGAAGATAACGAATAAAAAAATTTTTTGTTTCCCTGTGAATACCTTAGAGTAGGGAAATGCAGTAATCAACACCTCTCCCACCTGAGCTATGTCTGTTGCCCTAATTAAGATAAATCACACACTTGGATCATGATCATTTTGTAGTATCTCAAAGTGCTCTAAGAATTGGCAGTGATTTAGGGCCTCCCCATTGGCGCAGCGGTTGAGTGCTGGGTTGCGAAGCTGCCCGCAGCCTCTGCGGCACCGGTTCGATCCCCGGCTGCTCCCCGGCCACCAGAGGAGGGTCCCACATGGCGCGCAGACCTCTCCTGCCGCCCGCTGCTCCCCTCAGCAGTGTACTTCGGTCCTTCTGCCTGCTCTGCTTCCCGCTCTGGCTCTGGTGAATTCTCTCACCCTCCCGCGCTTCTGACTGTACCCAGTGCTTGTATAAATAAATAAATAAATCTTTAAAAAAAAAAAAAAGAATTGGCAGTGATTTATATGAAGTGACTCAAGGGTGTCCAAAGCACCCTGAAACTATAACAAAGTCACACATATTTCCCAAGCATTTTCAAAGTTGAAAATGCTCCTGTAATCTCCTCACTCTGTGCACTTTGCTATTGGTGTGACAAGGAATTTAAAGATGTTTTCTGGCTTTTTTTTTTTATATGTAAGGTGGTATTAACTATATGATTATAAGTTGGAATCCTCAGTTATCAATTACATCTACAGTCTCTAAAAAGAATAAAATGACCAAGACAAGCTTGGATGTTTCTTACCTGTTGATGAGACTGCAGGGAAAGTGCCTTTTTGGAGGGGCCATAGCCAGGGGCATGCATTAGGAGGCTGAACCTGTGGCCACTACAATGGACATCCACTTAGTTTTAAGTTGTCTTGATTCTGTATGTAGTGATATAGCATTCTGCGGTCATTCTTAGCTGTGGAAAAGGGTAGTCAGTTTTAGTTCGGTGCCTTAGTTTTAAGATGTTTTGTTTTTTAACAAATTGCAGAACTCTTCATTGTCAGCGAAACAAAGAGCCACTATGTCAATGAATGATCAAGAACCTTTTGTATTAAACACAATTTTCAACGTTTTGTTATTTTTTGTATGTTTAGAATGCTGATGTTTTTGAAGTTAAATAAACAGCATTATGTCTTTAAAAAAAAAAAAGATGGGGCCTTCCCTGGTGGCGCAGCGGTTGAGTGCTGGGCTGTGAAGCTGCCCACAGCCTCTGCAGCACCGGTTCAATCCCCGGCCGAAAGCGAGGGTCCCAGATGGCGCGCAGACCTCTCCTGCCGTGCCCGCTGCTGCCCTCAGCAGTGTATTTTGTCAGTCTGCCTGTTCTGTTCCCCACTCTGGCTCTGGTGAATTCTCTCACCCTCCTGTACTTCTGACTATACCCAGTGCTTGTATAAATAAATAAATAAATAAATAAATAAATAAATAAATAAATAAATAAATAAATCTTTTTTTAAAAAAAAAGATGGTTCATCCCAGTAAACACTGGAATCATCAAAGAATATGAAATAAGAATGACCATGAGTTACAGCCAAATGTCTAGACCTCACCCTAACATTCTAAGGTACACATTCTTAGCCCTCAGGTGATACTTCTGGTTCTCCATTCCCACTAACTACCACCCCCAACATCAAGGGATCCTTCCAGCCCACAGTAACTAGGACTACGAATACATGGTAAGACATAGACTTTTGCCTACAGAACTTACAGTCTAGTGAAGGAGACAATTAGGTAATTACAATAAACACAATAATTAAAGCCAAGGCACACAGAGTATTAAGATTAAGAAAGCTACTCAGTTTACACCTAAGAGGAAAGTTGAAGGATAAATAGAAGTACCCAGACAGTGTCAGGGCATTTGGGGAAGAATATTCTAGACAGACAGAATAGCATATGCAAAGGTTTTAATGCAAGAAAACACATCTCAAGAGATGGGAATCCCCTGGGTGGGGGCATGGGGGAAGAGGCCAAGGTAGAAAGTATTTTGAGAAGATAATGCTGGAGTGACTAAGAAGACATATGAAGCCGCTGTTTTGTTCACTTAACAAATATTCACTGAGTGTCAACAATGTGCCAGGCATTGTCCTTGGTGTTAGGAATAGAACAGTGTTCTCATGGAACTTAAATTCTAATTGTAGACAACCATAAACTAGTGAGAATAAACCAGAAAAATGCCAGATATTGATATGTACTATACAAAGGATCAAAATAAGGTGATATGATAGAAAGTATATGTTCCGGTCATTAGGTACTCATGAGATGGCCTCCCTGATACATGACATTTGAAAGCAGGTAGCTCAATAAAAAGGAACCAGTTGTTCAAAGATCAAAGAAAAAACTTTCTAAGGTGGTAATAACAGTACATGCAAAAGCCCAATGAAACTATTAATGAGGTTTTTTTTAAGCTAGGGATTTAAATCACAATCATTCTTACATTTTATAAAGATCACTCTGGCTACAATGAAAGGAATGCAAGCAGAAACAAGAGTGAAATATGTAGACTAAGATGAAGAAGTTGACTGAGAAGATGATAACAGCTAAATTCACACAGTACTTACTTAGGCACCCATCCACTGTTCTAAGCACTTTACATACATTAATTCATTTAATCCTCACAAATGCTCTATTTTATAAATTAGGACACTCAGAGAGGAGTGGCAAGTATGATGAAGGAAAGACAGTCGATGCACTAAAGCAATATTGAGGAAAGGCCTACTGATAGGCTGGTTGTCAGCTACTGGAAGGGAAGGGACGACTGATGGTGACTACATTTGAGCTTAGCAGCTGTGTAGGTGGTAGTTTTGTTTATAACATGACAGTGCACTGGAGGAGGAGTAAGTGGGAAAGAGAAGGATGCCTTTTTTTCCAAGCCCATGGAGTTGTCCAAGTAAGCAATTGGATATTCTTGCCTAGAGACAGATTTGAGCATTGCCCATGGGTAGATGTTAATAGAAATTGTCAGACAGGTTGAGATCACCCAGAAAGAATATGAGAAAAAGAAAAAAAGGTCTAGAAATGGAATGTTGACATTTAAAACACAACAAGGATCATTTTAATAACAAGAAACTGAAAGTATCTTAATGTCAATCCATAGGAAATAAGCTAAATAAAATATAGTTTATCAATTCTATGAAAGCTTCTACAGCAACCAAAAAGAAAGATCTATTTTTATGTACCAATATGGAATACTGTCATGGTACATTATTGATTCAAAGAAAGATAATACCAGGATACATAATACGTAACCTCATTTTTGTACATAAATAAAACAGGAAATAATGCTTTAGTTTCTGAGTTCATATATATGTACATAAAAGTATACATTATATATGTACATAAAAGAATCTGGAAATTACATTCCAAACCACTTTTACCTCAGGGAAATAGAGAAAGAATTAAAATGGGGAAGAAGAGGAGCAGGAGTAATCAAAATAATATATACAATGTTTTAATTTTTTTAAGATTTTTTTAAAAGTTTATTTATTTATAATTACAAGAACTGGGGTACAGGCCAGAGGTGTGGGGGTTGAGAGGATTCACCAGAGACAGAGTGGGTTACAGAAGAGGCAGATTAACTGAAATACACTGCTGAGAGGAGCAGCAGGCAAGTCAGAAGAGGTCTGCTGCGCCATGTGGGTCTCTCCCTGGTCGGGGATTGAACTCATGCTGCAGCAACTGCTGATAGCTTCATAGGTTGTGTCCTAACTAACCCCTTGTGCCACCAGGGAGGCCTTATTTTATTTATTCATGCATACAAGAGCTGGGGTATAGTCCAGAGGTGTGTGTGTGGGGGCGGGGGGTAAGAGGATTTATCAGACAGAGTGGGTAATAGAACAGGAAGACTGATTAAAAAACATTGCTGAGGGGAACAGTGGGTGAGACAGGAGAGGTCTGCTGTGCCATATGTGAGTTAGCTCCCTGGCCAGGGATGGAACTTATGCTACAGTGGCTGCAGATAGCTTCACAGTGGTGAGACTTAACCCCTTACACCACCAGGGAGGCCCTAATTCTTTTTAGACGATATTAAGTTCTCTGTCAAAATAAAGATCAGGCGCCTCCCTGGTGGTGCAAGGGGTTAAGCACCACATTATGAAGGAATCCATAGCCTCTGCAGCAGGAGTTAATACCTGGCCAGCCAGGGAGCAACCCACGTGGCACAGCAGACCTCTCCTGCCTCGCCTGCTGCTCCCCTCAGCAGTGTACTTCGGTCAATCTGCCTGTTCTGTTCCCTACTTTGTCTCTGGTGAATCCTCTCACCACACCTCCCCCACCCCCACCCCGCATCTCTGGCCTGTATCCCAGTTCTTGTATGCATAAATAAATAAATCTTTTTTAAAAAGATCAATTTTTTCCATAGAAAAATTGGAAAAATCTGCACTCTTAATTTTGCTATAAACCTAGAACTTTAAAAAAAAAAAAAGGGCAGAAAGGAGTCTACAAAGGACATCTTTTCTTTCAGATACTAAATTTTCTCTATTCCTTCCACCCCCACACTGGTGTTGATGTTCAGATCTTCTGGACTTCCCATATGACCATATCTGAGACATTAACACTAAGTCCCCTAATTCCATTCCTTATCCTGAATCCTTTGTCCCAGGTGACACTGACACCAAACCCCTAAGTTGGGCCACAACACAGTGCTAAACAAACATGGGAGAAAGAGACAGTTTCAAAGACAGGGATCAGATAACCTTGCTGGCCAGCAGAAATCTCAAACAGGAAAAGGTATTAGAAGGTATCTGAAGATCTGGAAGCAGCTCTGTAGCACTGGTGGCTGGGACTGGAGGAAAGTGGGAGAAATTCATGTAGTATGGAGTGATCCGAAGAAAAAGCCAGTTCCATTTATAATGACTCTAAACAAAGTGCTATAATGTGAATGAAACCAAGTTTATAGCAAAGTGAACTGGCAAAGGTGAATCCTATGAAGTGACTAAAGGCAGGGCATTATGGGGGAAGAGTCTTCTAGGGGTAGCTAGAAGAGTCACTTCACATCAACAAGTAGCAATTCTGGAGGCTTACAAAGGTTTAGAAGCTGGAGCAGCAGAAAGTAACCAAGGATTTAGCTCCTTCCTGGGAAAAAAAAAAAAAAGAGGCTGTACAAAAAAGGGGAGAAGATACTGAATTCTTCCTCAATAAACCAAACACGGAGGCACGGAGGGATCATGGCAGGCCTTTACTGGCTGTGTTCTCAACTTTTAACTTTCTGAGGATGAAAGACAACACATTTGGCCTATATGGTTTCCTGGTTACCCAAAGAAAGATACTGCCGAGGCCCTACCCAACAGCTGATTCATCATCAATTAATCTGTATCACAGCTTGTTGAGCTTCACACCTCACACAGTCACATACCAGAGGGCCCTGGAAAGAAAACAACCTGGTGTGAGCTGTCAAAGTCCTCTCAGTACCTGACCTCACCCTCTGGAACAGGTTTCATTTCAAAACCGAAAGGGACTGAAGGGCTGGGGAAATCCAAAGATCAACAGAGTCAGGAACAGGTGGTTCCCAGCAGAAAAGGGTCCCAGGTTAGAACTCAAAACAGAAACCAGACCACTGATAAGGCATAGTTTATGATGTCTGTCTCCAAACTTTCAGACGCCATGTGTATGTTTTCTAATATTTACAACAGGGCATGACCATGCTTATCCAACTTCTGACAACTAAATATCTAAATCTCCAAGTGCCTGATGAACCTTCTGGTTTTATTCAGCTTTAGAGTTTTGTGATAACACCAATAACAGATACCAGGGGGCTAATGAATTTTTCAGTCCTTCAAATGATCTGCATTTTAATCTCAATTAATTTTATCACCTCTTCCTTCTTCAATCCCGATAAGCTGTGGCAAAATTCCTCTCACTAAAAAAATTACAAGTTGTTCACCTTGGTCCTCTCTTTCCACCAATATTCAATACATTAAAAGT